ACATTACTCTCAGCTTATGTAGATCCCTATGTCTGGAAATAGTAGGACTCTTATATCAGAAAGCTTAGCAGTAATAGTATAATTATTGTATGATTTCTGCAGAACCAACACATTATGTTGAGATTTGAAAAAATACATATTCTTAATATAATGTATACCTGTTATTTATACGGAAATGTTTAGCCATCATTCCTGGGAACAATTAGAGACAAAATTGATACTGTTTTGTAAAAGGAGCATATTAAGTTTAGTTTGCACTAATAAGGATATTATACAAAATTGTTATCAGACCTGGTTTTATGCGGCATTCTTTTACGATAAGTTCTGATCAAGGAATGCAAAAAATATTTTGCAAGCAGTCTGTTCTTGGGTGGCACGGAAATAATAAGGGAACAGAGACACTTTTTGATTTAGATTTATGAGCTGTGGTTTAGATGCAGTAGGAAAATATCCCATAATTCATGCATTACTGGATGAGAGTAATTATTTTCAGAACTAAAAAAATCAAAATAAAAAATTAGGGCAGTTACTGATTAAAATTTTTGTGTTCGATTAATCGAAATTTTTTTAATCGATTAATTTTGATTAATTGTAACGCACATCCAGATCCAACTACATTGGCCTACACACATACAGCACGGCAATGAAGTAATAAAATGAACTAGGATCACACTAATCCAGCACATTATTAATCTCACGTACCCCACTCAATATGGCCGCCGCTTGAGTGGGGCAACTCAGAATAATAACGTGCTGGATTAGTGTGATCCTAGTTCATTTTATTACTTCATTGCTGTGCTGTATGTGTATGGGCCAATGCCTTGGCTGGCGCTCGTGCAGAAAGTTTAAAAAAAAATGTAATCAATCAAAAAGATTAACGATTAATCGAGAAATTAATCGTTTATTTGCACAGCCCTATTAAAAATATCTGATACATTCCTATTTTGTTGTACACTTTTAAATCTTGGTAAATAGTACTAAAATTCATTTTATTGGTCATTTATTAGCTAAAAACAAAATTATGCACATAGTGAGGATTTCTGGGTACCTGTTTACAACCATTCTTCGCAGTTTTTGGAAACAACTTGGAGGGCAACAATAGGTCTCTTTTCTCAATGGGTAGTTGTTAAACTCAACCTCTTGTGAACCATGGGCTGCTACATACAAGTGGAACTAAACCCTCCTAGCCTGTTGCAACTAAAAAAGTGCCATCTTAGCCTCTATTTAGATTTGCAGTTGCCATGGCACTGAACATGATATCAGCCATTTGAGAGCTTGAAAGTTTGGTTGAGAACTGACATAAACACACTGGCAACTGTGACAGTTATTAACAGGGGCATGCGTTAAATGCAACATACACTGAGCATGCGCTAGCAGGCAGGATGTAAATTAAGACACTACATTAAAGAGCATTAGTATGTTTGATTAAGGATTTAATAACATTTATTGAACATTGTAAAAAAAAAAAAAATTAAAGTATAAAAAGTGTTGGTACCCTTAAAACTCATTGAGACAATGCTTCATTACTCCTGAAAAGTGGTGAATTTAAAAAACAATTGTTATATACCTGAATGCCTTTGAAGTGTCAAAGATTATATCAAAGATGGGTGAAAAGAGGCTGAAGAGAGCCGAAGGATCAGCCGAAGCTACGGCTGGATCCTTCAGCTCCTACGGGAATAACCCCCTAAAAGTCTGGTTTTTAATAGTAAAAAAACAGTTGGTATCCTTTTCTTAATAAATACTATAACAATGTTCTCATTTGTTGTACTTTTACAAAAAAAAACATATTTTAGTAGTGATACTTTCACTTTAAGTCTTACTTGTCATCACTTCCCAGATTTTGGATTTCGAATAGGAATTGAGTTGCTTCTACTGACCACTAATAGTTTTCTTCGGAACTTATGTAAGCAGAAAATATCATATTTAAAGTACTATGAACACTGTACATCATTTGCCAGTTTTTATTTTTGGAAGGGCTAGAAGACTAATTTCCTAACCCTAATTGGTATTCAAGAAAAATGGGGGAGTTGCAACATTTTTATTCTTAGAGTACAAAAAGTACATTTAAGGATATTTTTATAACGTTTAAGTCATGATCTATTTGTTGATTGGTTATGCAATAACCTGGCTGAGTTATGTCGGACTTGCAGACCGCATTATGCATGATATGTCGTGATGTGTCAAATTGTTTCTGATTTATTGTTTCTGGGTGAGTTCTTAACTGTGCCTGTAACACTTAATACATTCCTTCCCTAAAGATTACATTTCTAGACATTAATACATTTTAAACATTAACTAGAGATATTATGATAGATATTATTAGAATGCATTTGAAAGTATTTAATGTTAACTAATTCCTTCCATCCAAGCTCAAGGAAGTGTGACAGAAGCACTGAAATGTATTATGTAGATGTGATACTTGGCACTGGGAGAGCTAGTTTTGCAGAGAAAAAGTGCCTGATAGCTTATAGCAGGTAGCCTAGGGAGGTATTTAAATTAGGAAAAGGTGGGGTAGCCAAGACATAAGAGGCAGAACTCCATCAGGGTTGACTTGAGTGACACTGTGTGACTGTTTAAAAAGGATTAGTTTCCGTGTGAACAGACAGAGGGTAAGATTTGAATGAGAGTTAAACTGGCCATGCCAACCTGGTTGTCGGAGGATTCAAACAGTGAGTGGCCCTGCAGGCACCTTGTTCAGTTGATTTTTACATCGACTTTTGTGGAGCTGGTTGGTAAATTATTGGCCACGTAGTTCGTATATTCAGCCAGCCATGGGTGTTGTGGCTGCCTGCATACAATAGCCGGCGATTGAGATTCCTCCATTTATGCTTTAGCGTGGATGGGACATGGGGGCTAAATGGATGAAATTTGATAATTTATATATGGTTGTTTTTGCTAAAAAAAAAGAAGTGTGCTCATACCTCTGCTGTATTAGCAAACACAAAGGATTGCAGTTGCAGTAGTTGGTATGGTAAAGCAAACAGTTACATTTTCTTCAGCATCTGCTGATTCCATTATATACTGCCTAATGATCTGTAAGACTAAACTAGCAATTTGCAAATCGTAGATCACATCTTTCAAAATTCATGGACACCAGAATTTCTCAAACCCCTCTACATTACAGCATTAAGCCATCTCTTTAAAAAAAAATCCTCAAAAATAACATTGTGGGATGATCACACACATTTTGTAGGCTATCAATTTACGTTATCATTAGTAAAATATAGGCTTAGATTCTGACAAGAAGTGTGCCCATAAATTATATATTATGCACACTGTATCATTTTGACATGGTTTTTATAATATTTATATGAGGAAACTAAAGCATTGCAATTAAGCCCAGGAGGCCATAAATTACATAATAGAAATGTAGGCTTAATTCACACCTCACCATTTTTGGGCATGCATTTTCCATTGTTGGTTGACATTGAGTTGTCGATAGGAACACACCGGTGTTAAAATGCACATCTGTGAATCTAGCCTAAAGATACAAATACTATCTGCTTGCGTTACACAAACCATTTTAATATTAGCATGTCATTTTCCTAAACTGAACCTTTATTTCATCCATGCAAATATAAGAGAAAACACAGGTTCATTTATAAATGTTTTGACACAAGATTCATACAACTTTCAAGCAGGATTTAAACTTTTTCCAATTGACTAAAATGAGAAAAATATATGAATCTTGGGTGAAAGTTATTTGAAAAATAACATAAACATAAATAGAGCTCTATATATATTTTATCTTATATATCTTTATACATTCATATGAATTTGTACCATTCTGTTGTGAGTTTAGCTCTACCAAGGTCAAACTCTTGCAGAGGTGGCAAAATTATGATTTTGTCTTTTACATTTTGCTTAACTTATTTTATATTTAACATTTTCTTTAGTTAAGTAAAGCGCAAGTAAAATGTATTTTTTCAGATTATGTTTTGTGAATGATAACATGTAACAAATATAAAATAGGTGTTATTCCAATATGGCTGCAAAAGTGGAAATGCAGTTTTAAAGTGACACTAAACTTAGGATTTAAATCCTAAAAATGCATTCACATACCTTAACTATTAACAAAAACTTTACAACACACATAGGGACCATGGGGAACAAAAGTAGCCACCCTCCAGCAAGAAGGACAGTGTCAGCACAGATTCAGAGAGGAGTTGAGGATCTACAGCTGAGTGATACACCAATAAGCTAAATTTTTGTGAAACGTTAAGGTACTTCAATGTATTTTAAGATTTAACTCCTGAGTTTAGTGTCACTTTAACTTAATTAGCTTTATTTAAATTATGTGATGCACTTTTTTTTTAACTATACATTTTTATTAAAGTCAAAAGAGTATATACAACTTGCTTAAAAAGCCCAGTACATGATATTTTCATATTAAAACAATTAAAGAAGGAATTGGGCAAACGGGCAACTTCAATGGGGAAGTAAGATATTGCTATGTGATAAGCAACGTGGATGTGCGGATGGAAGATAAGGCTTATGTATAGTATGGTAATTATGATATACAGGGGGTGATTTACTAACCTAAACACACGCACGCACAAGCACCAGAGGTAGCTAGAATAGGACAAAGTATGTTAAATGTTACTAGGGGATATCCAGTAGTGTGAGACAGCGGTTTGTTTAGTGGGTTAAGACAAATGGTGCATTTTTTGTAAGTAAGCCAACAGGACCAATTTGATTTGAATTTGGTCCATGTACAGTTAGATTTAGCAAATAGATATTCAAACTGAGTATTGGTGTTAGGATATCTATTATGGATTGGAGCACTGGAGGATCCTTTCATTTCCATGAGTTTGCTATTGCTAATCTTGCAGCTATAAAGGCATGAATGTAATGCACTTTTATCAGCCATATGGTTTTACTGACAAATATCATATTATTAACTGGTGGAATCTGTTGCCGGTTACCAAATACAAAAAAATATTTTGAACTACGCAGAAACACTGATATCAAATCATGTTCTATATTGCTTTACTCGTCAGGTGCGTACGTCATTTTGAAGGTCATGTGAATCGGCACCTTCCCTGTGGTGTTGCCATCAGTCCTTGTGGAAGATTTATTGCATGTGGATCTGAAGACAGATGTGTAAGTAAGACATTTCTAAGATCTCTATTGAGTGTTTTATAAATAAAAATTTTCTTGACATATGTGCCACAAGTGAGAATAGAGGTTGCGTAGCTAGATTTTGCAAAATATGAAACCCTTATAGCAGCGGTCTCCAGTCGGTAGCTCAAAAAGCCCAATGTGGCTATCAAAGCATTACATGACAGCTATGCAGCTTTTCCCAAATATATATCTTTCTAAAAATCTGGTGATTTGTGAACCTGGATGATGAATTGTTCATTCTAACTGTTCTTTCTAACTAACTTGATTGGTGATACAGTTCCTTTTGGATGTAGACCAATGCACTCCCCTTTGGTTATATATTGTATACCTTCCTTTCTTTGAAATAAACAAGCTCTTTATACTGCAGTCCACTTTAAATATCTTCAGTGCTTTATATTGAAGGATGACATACAATGAATTAAAGATCTGGAATTGATTATTTGTTAATAATATTTGTGAATTTTGATTACATTTTTTTAAATAGTGCTTTTCTGTGCTTTTGTTTAATTATCAGGTGTGTATGCATCTTTTCCGATGTTGTTTACATTACATATAACAATTTTTAATTTACAATTAACTGTATTATCTTATTGTAAAACCTATAACTGAGAAAATCCTATCTTTGCATGCAGAATACAGTATTTGGAATAGTATAAAAACTATTTTTTTCTTACCCTATACTGAATCTTGTTAATTTATTAAATTGGGTTTACAGTATTTTTGTTCAAAAATCTTGTTGAGTTTTATCCTCCTGAGGTAGATCAAACTAAAATCCAAAAACAAAATGTATATTTCAGCAGCTTACCAGTCCATAGATGTGGTTGACCGCCCTAGGGGTATATTTATAAAATAGTGAATATGACACCAAGCGATCACTTCAGGTTTATCTTCTGGGTGTGTGCTTTAAATTGCAGTGATTAATTCACCTGCAGTGTGTGTTTGGTGAATCTCACATTCACTGCTTTATAAATGTAGCCCTAAAGTTAATTTTTTGGGTATTTTTCCCCCTATATTTTTACCTGCTGATCCTGCTGGTAACACTGTTTAAGTTCTTGGGTGACAACACAAAATACCCTTAATGCTCTTCTACAATACCAGAAGAGAATTAATATATCTTAATTTTGTGCTTGTCCAAATAAACTTCTGTATTACTGCTGCAGTCACTGATCAGAAATGTATTTAATTTATGTATCAGTGGACCAGTAGACCTGCCGTTTTTATACGTGACCGGTCAACAGGTAGTTAAAACAGATGTCTCTCCCTAAAGCTTGCAGTAAGAACCATTTTAAAGTGCACCTTTATGAAAAATGCACAATGTAAACACCTAGATTATATTAAAATATATGTAGAGCCGAAACAATTTAAATGTGGATGGAGTGTAGCAGGGCTAGAACTCCTGTCACTTTTTTTTGTTGTCTGTGTCCATTAGGAGATTTCCCTACACATTCTTTTTGACTGCTTTCCTCCAGTCCCAGTTGAACTACCCAGATGAGAACATTAAAAAGAACACAGCTGAACAAAGCCTAGGAGTAGTATTTGGGAGTGTACCTCTACACATCATCTGTGCATGTCCTTGCTCTGTTTTGTAGTTATATTTAAGGACACAGCTGAAAACTGACCTTAGTAAGAGGAAATTTGGGTAACCCCTTCTTAGTTAGTTATCACCAAAACAAGTGTTGGAAGACTTCTCTTCATCTCCTGTCTGATGACATCTGTAAATGTTGGGGTTACTCGTCACTTTTTGTCCCAGAGACTATGGTCTCCAGAAAAAACAGAGAGTTTGAACCTCCACAGCTGGGGGCACATGCAGAAATAGAAATCTTCTAGAGGTTTTTTCCCTTCCCATTTCAATCCAAAACTAAATAGAATACCTTTAACTTTAGGTATACTTTAAATATAGGTACCAAGAGGAATCTGCATACATTTACTTCAAGAACATCAGTTGGAGCATTTCTAAAAACTATAGCTAGTAGGTACACTTCAGGGCCCTTTTCACTAGGATATTACAGCTGGACCCCAAATTGCAAAACATACAGATGGTATACACATGAGGGAGCTGTTTTACCTTCCAAAGGATTTGTATTTATGTCCTTCCAGTTCTGAGATTTACACAGCCCTATCACACAGCCTAGCTCTTTCTGGAAGGTCAGGAGACCTGATTTTTCTTTTCTGTTGTCAACTACTGCTAGTTCATCTTGTCCTTACTTTCAACCTGTTACTGTACAGTTAAGGAAAAGCCAAAGATTTATGAGCTCATCTCTCTCATACTCTGCTCTCTACTTCTATGAGCACATTGCTTGTTAGCACATGAGCACTGCAGCACAACTGAGAGGCCCCTTGTGCTGATTTTTACTGTCTGAGACTGAGCTCTGTTCTGCAAGTGACTTGCAAGATGCCAATACCAAGTCAAATCCAGGTACTTACACTGCTTGCAGTAACTAATGTATTATTAAAATACAGAGCTGCTTTGATGTGTGTCTTTTAAATCTGCCTTTAGTTCAGCTGCAACAAATCACTCAACAGGCATCTAAAATTCCAGGGCCAGGTAGTGAGAATGAGCTGAATTGTTTCCTTTGTGCAAGTATTCAATTTGTACTACATTACGCTGAATTTAGTGTGGCCTGCAGCATCTGGCCAAATCTGACACTGCAGACACATTCTTTTTGACTGCTTTCCTCCAGTCCCAGTTGAACTACCCAGATGAGAACATTAAAAAGAACACAGCTGAACAAAGCCTAGGAGTAGTATTTGGGAGTGTACCTCTACACATCATCTGTGCATGTCCTTGCTCTGTTTTGTAGTTATATTTAAGGACACAGCTGAAAACTGACCACATCAACCTGGTGAGCACTGTCATTTTGCAGTGATCAACTGTCAACCCAGCACCTATACACTATCTTGTCTTAAAAAGACACTATCACCTTGCCCATGCAGGGGAAATATAGTATCTCTGCAAAGCGTTCCCCCCCACACGTTCCTTCCACTGTTGCAGTCTGTGACACCACCCAGTGGTTTCGGGTATGGGGAGCCTAGCAGCTAATCGCTAATGTCACTTTGTCCTCCATGGGCAAGGTGACATGTACTGTCAGCTTCGGGTATGGGGAGCATGGAACCTCCCCCCTTGACAATACTTGACAGGTCTCAGTGACAGTGTCTCTTTAAATTTTGAATCTATCTTACTCTGTTCCTTGTAGTGATGATAGCATTAGGGAGAGAACAACTCACTGGCTGATCAAGCACTTTACTACATGTGTAATAAAGTAAATAAACAATGTAAAACCCCTGGTCTGATTCACCTTGGTCACAAAGGTGATCTGTTCCCTGTTATGAAGAGGTACAGCTTGATTGTATTAATGTACTCTACAGTTTCTAAATCAGTGACAAGCATTACTTTGTGAAGTACTTTGTGTATAATAAAGAATAAGACATCAATTCATTATAACATGTTCACAGAAACTTTTCAAGCTACCAGTCTATCCCCGGCCTCCCATTTTTTGTATATTTTGAATGTTTTATACACTGTGTTCTAGAGTAAAATGATCCAGGTAATCAAAACGAACGGGTTTGAAGGCACTTGATAAAACTACAAAGGATTTACTTGCAGCAGTGATTTATAGTTTATGACATACTAGAGAGGCAGAAAGTGAATCAGACAGTCAGGCTGGGGCAAGTCCATGAAAAAGTTGGATAGAATGTTTTTGACCCTGTTGTAGCCTTTAAAAGAGATGAGAAGACAACTGCATGTTCATGTGCAGGGGATGATCAGATTCTGTTTTTAGTGCAAATTCAATAGCATAAGATGGTATGTTAAATATGAAAATGATTGATCTTGAACGTTAGTAAAACAAATGTTGGTATTTTTTTTAATTTCAGTCAAGTAGAAATTACATTATAAAAATAGTTGTGTCAGGCAAATTAAGGTCGATGACAAATCAAGTAGATGATGCCAAAATGATTAAAGAGTTGTCTTTAAACTGTAAAAGGGCATGATACAATTTATGTATAAGGAGTTCAGTAGAAAACATGCTTAATCTTAATAAACTGCTGAAAGAGGAATGTATTGTTTTATTCTCCAAAAACATCCAGTTTTGAAATGCAGTCTAATGAATAACTTTTAAAGCATAATTTGTCTTAAAGGCATAGCCTAGCTTTTGAAATAATAATAAATGCACCCACATTAATAAAAGAAACAATGTGCATTTATTAATTCTTTGCACTGAAGCCTGCAGAGCATTGCAACTGCAATCAGTGCTTTGTGGGTGCAATGCAAAGGTTCCTGCATTATTGACATCCCTGCCCCAGGTCCATACAAAGGTATGGACCGTTATTGGGCTGGAGGAAGTAATCAATGGACTACAAGTGAGGTGACATCAACACACTTGTGCTGCATTGTGATCTATAAGTCTGTCTGTCACGGTGGCTATTGCCCGCGATATACTGAGAGCACTGCAGCCGGGATGGTTTCCGACAATACAGTCGAGATCCAACCATTTGTGTGAGTGACAGCTGGCTCTGTCTATTCAGAGACAGAGACAGCTATGCCCGCCCCCTCTCCCGTTCATTTCCCCCCTCAGCGCTGGAGGATCGGGGAGGAGGGGAAATCGCTGTGGGGAGCGGTGACTGACAGTCACTATGAGGATGAGTGGAAATCACTCACATCAAAGTTCTCCTTTAATTTAAACTTACGGAATAATTTAGAAGCCATAGGGCAAATTGTGTGTAGTTGGTATTATAATCACAAATGGGATTACCACAGCACTAAAGTACAAGAGCAAGTATAGTAAAGAACATGCTTTCATTGCTTTTATTTAAAGGGACAGAGTCATGTTTAATATAAAAATGATTGCAGCTGCCTAAATAGAAGCAAATGCTGAAACATATATGGTCTCAGTTTTGAATTACAGATATGTTTGGATTGGGCTCAGCAGATAGTTAGATCTCTGTCAGTGTGTGAAAGATCAGCGTTAACAGTAGAGTATATGCAATATGTATTTGTATCTACTATATATAGTCAGATTTCAGTGTAACACATAATATTGCATGTAAAATAATGCATGTTTTAACTCCTAAAAATATCACCCATTTGAAACTCTGTTTACTGAAAAAATTTTGTTTTTATTTTTTAAAGGCCTATATTTATGAAACACGATTTAGTACATATTTGGAGAAACTGAAGGAACACACAGAATCTGTCATCAACGTAGCCTTCAGTCCATCTACAGCACAGGTAAGCTTTTTCCTAAAACGTATTTAGCAATACAGCGCAGTTAATATAAATGTTGTTAGTATTGGACAGATTTCATTTGTTGGCCCACATATGTTTTCCTCTCTAAGACAAAAGAGAAAACTCAGATGTGTTTGCCTCTTATACAGTCATTTCCTGCCGTTGACATTAATGAATCACACTGAGTGTTTTTCTTAGGTTGAACCAGCAACCTCTTTCAACAAGGTTTTATTTTAGGTTGAAAGCTGACATAAGTAAGGATATCTTAGTAATTCTAGAAATGGTCAAATAAGAAGATTAACAAGCAGTAGTATTTTATGTTAATAAATCTTTAACCACTGGTAACATTATAGACTTTTTTTTAAGAGTAGTCTACTTTCTCCATCTGCTATTGAGGGACACGTGAATTCAGAAACAGTTGGATTATATTGCCATAACTAGGAGGTTGGGGCACTGGCAAACAAAAGAGTTGTGTGACAGTTCCTAACCACTCCTATTTATTGGAATAGATTTACTAAAGGCAAATAGTATGTTCATTTTAAAAGAAAGTTTTCACTTTCCGCTGGGATTTTACCTTAGCTTAGTGGATGTGGTTAAAACTTACTTTGCAAAGAATGTCCCACCACATGCAAGGAGAATAAAAAACAGTATTTTTGCTTGCATGTGATTGGATGATAAAGTCAGAGAAAGGTCCTTTGCAAAGTGAACAACCTATTTGCCTTTAGGAAATCAACCTCATTGCTTCACCCCACTGCTTGAGTTGGTCTCTTCATAGCAACTATCCAGATCAGTGTTTCCTCAGCACTAGCATCGGATGCAGTACCCCCGTACAACCCCACTGGACTGGATGTATGGGACTAGCTTGTAATGTAACCTTCGGGCACTGGGCTCTATGTTGGGGTGCTTTCCTGACCTTTGTGTGCTGTTGTCCAGTTGTGACCCTTTCTCTGAATACAAACTTAGTTAGTAAAAAGCCAGATAGGCTAAAACCCCTAGAGTCACCTCACCATTTGCATGTCTGTGTTATTTGTCAGAAATATTGTACAGACTTGCTGCACATTATGTAAGCAGTTCCGCTAGGCCACAATTGGAGAGTGAGAAAAGGGCAGATTTTTAAACAAAATGTTATATTTCTGAGACAAAGGCCAAGAATATTATAGAGACTCCATGCATTCTATATCAGCCTTATAGGCAGGAATGTAAGAAACAGAGGCTGGGCATGTTTTACCATGAAATAAAAAACAGAGTGTACTATAACAGAGAAAGTAGCCAGAAATATTGTACAGACGCCATACACAGTATTTAAGCATTTTTAGTAAGCCACATTTTAAAAAGAATAGGTAGCAGGCAACTTTTAATTTTAAAAAATCAACATACGCGTGTAAATATATTTCACGTTGAAAAGGCAAAAATATTGTGAAGTTTCCACAAAGTATTTAGGCACTTGGGATAGGCCACATTTTGAATAGGACATACAGCATGCAGCTTTTCATCCCAAAAAATAAAAACTAGAGTGTATATAGTTAACAGAGAAGTCAAAAATATTGTACAGACTCCATAGACAGTATTTAAGCTCTTAGAGTAGGCCACATTTTGAAAAGGATATGCCGAGTCCAGCTTTTCATTCAAAAATAAACTAGGGTAGATATATTTCACATAAAAAGGCAGAAATAGTGTACAGACTCAATGAACAGTATTTAAGCACTTGGAGTAGTCCACATTTTGGAAATGGCACACAGCATGCAGCTGGTCAGAGTTGTTATTATGACAGTTCTACTCCCGAATGTCAACAAAGGGGCGGAACAAGTCCAGTGATGTCACGACTCGCTCCGCCCCTTTGTTGACATTCAGGTCAGAGCTGTAATTTTCTTTATCATATATTGTTGATATATTCAGTGTCATTATTTCTTTTATTTTAAAAGTCGGATGCATCAAAAATCATCCGAATTTCAATTCGTAATCAAACAAATCGCACATATCTAGCCCACACTGCTGAGCTATGTGGAGCGGCCAGATTGATAGCTGGAGCCAACCCTGCAGGGCACTGCAATCCGAATAGAATGGCTGCTTCCTCCACTGCTCTGCAAGCTTCCTTTACCCCCGGATGAAAATCCTGCTTCTCTGATGTCGTTTCTCTCCTTTACTTTACTCTTCTACAATCTCTAGCACCTGGGTACAATCTGCCATCTTGTAATCCCCACCCTCCTTATTGTCCAAGCCAGTGAAGTGTGAGCCAGTGAATCCCAAACTCCAGTCTGCAGCTGTCTTTGCTTGAGTCTATGGGGGTTATTCAAAGGCAGCCGAGTGAATAACTGAGCCAAAGTGAGCTGAACGCTGCACGGCTGATTTCGTCCCTGCACGAAATCCTAACCAGACGAGCAAGTGCCGCCCCCCACCCTGCCATACCAGGCCACAGGCCTTTGGCATCGGGAGGGTGCTTTTCCAGGGTCCCCCCTGCAAAGCACCTTGTCCCCATGCCGATCGGGACAAGCACCTCTTCCCCACAAGCCCTGGGGTGTAGGTTGTGGGGGTCTGCGGGCAGGGGGGCTTATTTGCATCGGGGTACCCCTTTAATAAAGGGGGCACCCAGATGCTGCTCCCCCTTGTGAATGAGTAAGGGTTACTTGCACCCCTACTTATTCACTAAAGGGTTAAATAAAATGTAAAAAAGACCACACTTTTGAAAAAGTCTTTTGATTGGAAAAAGAACAAAACCAAGGTTTTTGACAATTCCTTAAATAGAAAAAAAAATTAATCTAACGAAATAATCCACGTCAATCAGCGTTCTCCAGCGTTGTCAACGACCCTGCCAACTCACCAAAATAAAAAGTCGACCCATCCGCACCCGCTGAACACACGCCGCAAAAAGTAAAGAAATAGTCTTCAGCAGACTGTTCTCCCCGTTTCAGCTGTGACTTCAGCTGAACTGAAGGAGTCTGGCAGCCGAAGTGAGCCGAAGGATTAGCTGATGCTTCGGCTTAATCATTCGGCTTGTTCGTGAATAACCCTCTATGTGTCAGTTCCAAGCTCCTTAGATCCTGCGCCTCTATCACACCCTCGCCAAATATGCAGACATCCTGATCCCTACTCTTACTGTCTACAGAGCCTTTGGTGTGACTCTGTCTTCTATCAGTGCCGTGCAGTCCCAAAAACCCCATAGCTTCCGTTCCCAATGACTATGGTCTCCTAGTTGTGGCACTAACTGAAAATAAAAATAATTTTTAAAATGTGAAAGAAAGGAAAAAAATAAAACCCATTGAAACATCTAAAAGGGACCAGCAGCTAAAGGTGCCCATACACTGCACGATTCTCATACGAGAATCGCGGGTTAATCTTGTGCACATTTCTACTTGCTTAATTTGTTTATTGGAACAAAGAAGCTGTGTAAGAATGTCTAAGGTTATTGCAGTTCATGTAAAATTATTTTGGCAGACAATATAGCCTTATTAATATTTCCATTTAGTTTTGCAGTGCCTGAAACTTAGTATTTACATATTTTTAAAGTGATCCTGTCACCACAGGCCAACAAGGCAGTCTCTAGAAGAGGCAATATACTTACCTTTCCAGTGACCCATGTGTTGTAAAACCAGCACTGCATATGTTTTACACTTCCTGTGTACATATGTAGAATAACTGCTTCCTCACTATAGGACATATGTGTGCGTGCATACCTGATATGCGTGCATATCAGGTATTCAGCCTATCTTAAGAGTTGAATATATCCAGCGGCCAGAAAACACTGAAGTGGTGGCTTTTCAGCACACAGGCTGCCAAAGTACGAATATATTGCCTGCTCTATCACTGGCTGCCTTGTTTGTAGAAGTGACACTGTGGTACAAAGTCACTTTAAGTTTATTTGTATCTGTATTATAGTATATTATAGTGTGGTGTCCCTTCCCCCTGCAGTCTCCTCTGTGCTGTCATCTCCAGCTTCTTTAGGATGTATACCTTGTTCTCCCATCACTAATTGTTATAGATGAATATGTGTATTGTGGTTTGTCCATTAGAATATATTGACCCTCTTTAAATGTCTTTGTGTACATGCAAAGAAACCTCTTCCCCGGCTTTCCTTATTGGCCATTGGTATTTATGCTTTGATTTTTTTTCCTTGTTTATCAATTTAAAGCAATAAACCAATTAGTACATCATCATAGAAGGAATGCACTGTGTTATAGTGTTTCAAAAATACAGTATATGTAATTATTATTTCATTTTTTTTTTGCTTTAAAATTATATTAAAATGTGTTTAAGTTATTTCAAATGCTGATAAAATGACTTACAATGGATGCTGCTCCATGATGTTCAAAAGATTTAGTTTCCTGTGGAATCAGCTGGTCCCCTGAGCCCTGCCCTGAATTCCTGCTTTAGGGTGACTCCTTTCCCTTGCAGGATCTTATGGAGCCAACCTTGCTGTGTTCTAGTAAGCTGCGTGTGTCCACAAACTCACAGGCACCACAATGTAAGCCACTCCCCTCCCTCTTCTCCTCCCTTCTTCAAGCTAGAGGATGGATGGCTGCTGGAGACTGTTTTGCGCTTTGTGATCCTGTACTTGACAGGAAGTGATGACTGTAAGTGCTTGGGCAAAAATGTAAAGAAATATTTTGCCTGGCAATGTAAATGTGTTTGATCTGGATCCATTATTGAAAAATATTTCAAAATTATTCAGTTGCAAGATACTTGTGGGTTTTCTTGCACTTACTGTAACCCTGTATTTCTTCTTTTTGGACCATTCCTTAATGGATTTGCTAGTGAGCTTTGGATCATTATCGTGTTTAAAGGCCAATTTCTGGTTCCAGTCAACTTGGACAAGTGATCTCACATTCTCATCAATTGCACTTTGATATGATGCAAATGTATATTTGACTTCAAGCTGCCCAGCCCCTGAAGCAGCAAAATAAATCTTAAACCATAATATTTCTACCACCATTCTTCGCAGGTGTTATGAGGTTCTTCTCCTGAAATGCTGTGTTCAATTTGTGGCAAACATGTCTGTTACTGTGACT